GGGGGGGGGGGCAGACCAAAACTTTTGCAGAAAAGTGACATTCTCAGTAGGACACGTTTCCCTTTTGCGGAATTTACTGACATTGTATAGATGGGGCTCATTTTTCATACCCACCATGTTGCAAGGTGTTGTCTATGGGTCGTTTCACGTTGGCACTTTTATTGGCTTTTAGGCTGAATCAAGTTGGGTTTAATTTATCTAATAGGCTTAAAGAATACCTGGGATCGTCGTTCTGTGGTATTTATTTCTCATGACATATGTTGCAGGTGCTGTCCGGCGAAGATTTGAGGATACTACAGTATACGATGTAATAGAACCAACCGGCAATTGGCTGAGGGATGCGCCAGGCAAGTAAAAGAAGAGAAGGAGAAGTGCAAGCAGGGATTCCCTGTTGCCGCAGTACGAGGAATCTCCCGATTGATGAGGACTCCAAGGTACGAGCATAACTTGTAAACTGTAGGCCAAATTAAGTGGGATATAGCTCATTGCATCTCTTATTTTTTTCCTGGTGTAATCTTCGGTCTATCATGTCACATTCTAGCAAGTTGCGAGACAGAGGCAATCAGATGTTCTCGATGTAATCCCCCCCCCCCCTCGGTGAACAGAAAAAGCCAAAACAAAGTCATTAGTCAAAATGATGTCGTTTTGTGGTCATTTTGCCATCTTTTGACGACTACATGCTTGAACGATGTGGACGCGGGAGTCGGGTTCACAGGGGCGATTGAGAATGAGGGAGGGGAATCTGGCTGTCAGTAGTCAGCTGCCGGGAAGCTGGACTTGAGCCCAGCCCTATCAGAGCTCACATCAGTAACCGTCCGACCAGTATCCGATATGAGTCCACCATGAGTCTAGTGTGACGATTGGGACTAGTGTTGCTCGGTACGCGAGGAACACTAGGATCCAGTGCTTCACTTCACTTTGCAAGTACGGGCTCATATCGGACACTGGTCGAGTGTACAGTCGTCCAGGCTCAGATAGGGTGGGACTCAAGTCCAGCATCTCCAGCTGCCAGTTCGCCCGAGAGACCTTAGCTGCGGACAGCCGTGACAGCCTCTCCCTAGTCTTCTCGCTAGGGTAGGGCAAGGGCCCACTAGCAGACCGTGGTAGATTTGTTGTAATTCGTGCAACTCTGAACGAAGACGACCACATAATCCCCTCCCCCCCC